TGCATCTCCCACTCCCTGTGTCTAGGGGGTTTTGCACTAATTGCATTCCACTGTGGTACACGCACACACACACACACATAAAAGCAAAAGTCATTTCGGGGGGCTAGAAAACAAAAAATAAATAACAGTAAGTTCTCGCTTGAAAAATCTCACATGGTCTGCCATGAAATAAATGCAGGTAAGTAAATTCTGTAAATATTCTGAAACTCGGGCGGCGGCATGGAATAACAACTCTTAACACCCGAAACCCCTCAAACATTATTATTATTATTGTAGACGAAAACTAAAACCTTTGGCAAAAGTATTGCATTGCCATCTCACATCGGACGACGACTGCTGTCTGACTTTTTTGTTCGTTGAAATAATATTTGATATTTGATTCGATCGAAGAACAAATAAAGTCTGGCGCTCTGTGGTCTTGTGGGGCGTGGGGGGGTATTGAATTTCTGTGGAAATGCATTTTATTTACGACTTGCTAGCAAATTCTAGCAAGTTCCTTTTCTGCTTAATGTTCATTTTTTGAGGTAAATGTATAGTCGTGAGCGGGCGGGCGGGCTGGATGGCTACTGCTTTTATCCCTCCGAAGGACTGTGATTTCTGTGGCTGCTGGCTGCTGGCTGCAGCAAGAACATCAAAATTCCATTAAAATGTCAAGTGACAGTTTCAGGCATTCCCATGCCATACCCCCCCACACACACAGACACAATGCCTTGCCTCATCCGTAGGGATATTCTGGGGCTATTTTTTGTTTGGTGCCACTAGAATTTGAATTCAATTTGCAAAAAATCAGACAAATCAGGGAGAGGGAGAGGGAGAGGGAGAGGGGCCTGAAATGCTTTCAATTTCTGTTGCACAAAACTGACGGGCACTGCCCACAAAATGCAAAAATAGCAACCAGAAGCTGGGATTTAAGCCAATTAGAGCAGAGTGGGAGTGGGCGTGGGCGTGGGCGTGCGAGTGGGCGTGGGCGTGGTCGTCAAGGAAACTATAATTGGGAGCAAATAAGGAGAGGAAAGCTGCTGCTAGGGAGGAGAGTTTCCCAGCAATACGATTACTTTCCCTCCCCTCTCATTAGAGCACAGACAATGTGGCATAAATATCGTACTTGGGGCATATTGCTGGATGGCTGCTAGAGGCAGAGCTCTTTTTTGCACCCAAGACTTTGGATGCTTTCCTCCCATTATCGAGTGTAATTTCTCTGCAGCATCATAGTCCTGGCTCTTGCTCTTCCTTCTCCATGCCAAAAATCATCAGCGCAACGTTGCCAAACTTCACGCAAATGTGTGTGGCGCCTTTTTTTTTGTTTGGCGTATTTCTCCTTTTGCTCTTTTTGGCTCAGTGCACGTTTTACGCTTGTTTTCTTGTGACTTTTTTGCCTCTTTCCTTCTGGAAAAGTAAAAATCAATATGCGACCTGCGATTGCATTTAAATGAACAGCAGCAATAAAATAAAGAAAGACAGCAAAAGAAGAAGAAACAACAAAAAAATAAAAGCAAATAACAGACAAAAAAAAATAAAACCATGGCCAGGGGCACACAGCAAATGTGGAATGGAATAGAGCGACGTATGTCTGTGTGTGTGTGTGTGTGTGTGTGTGTGAGCAGCGCCGCACAACGACCAAAGAACCGGTTCAACAAGAAATTCTACGTGCGGCCCAAAAGAAGAAGAAACAAACACACACAAAAAACAACAACAAAAAAACCAGTAAAATAAGCAGAAGGGGTGGGGAAAGGGGTACGCAAGGGTTGGGGCCTGCTAACGACTAGTCAATACCCCTTAAAAAAAGGGGAAAGATACGGGTTTGGGGTATTCAAGGATCAAAACTGAGCAAAAGAGTGAAATAAAGTAAGCAGAAAACAGCAGAAAATGTTCGATTTTGAAGGAGAAATATCCTACGGTTTATGGATAAATAATTGCAAGAATCTGTAGAAATATTCCCAAATCTAAATTTAAAAATGAATCGAAATCTAAGGTCTGGTCTATTGCCTAAGAAAAAGCCACGTAGGCGCGCCTCTGCCATAAATTCTTTCCATACATTCGCTCAGAGGCAAAAGGAACAGACAAAGAAATGGGGGGAATAAACGGCACCACAAAAGGCAGGCAGAGGAGGGAGAGGAGCAAAAGTAATATTTGCATAATTTAAATGCTAATTGGCGGTGGTAGGTGCTGGGCACGGGACGGGTAAAAGCAGATCCAAAATAAGGTATAAATAAACACAAATACAAATAAATAACACAAAATGTATGGAAATTATATGCTGTATATGGAGAGGAGAGAGGAGAGACGAGAGAGAAGAACTTGCAAGATCAGAGAAGAGAGAGAGAGAGAGAGAGAGCTGGAGAGCTGGAGAGCGGGGCGAAAAACTAGATATTTTTGGCGCCATGATGGGGGGCACGCGTTTTGATAAAGAAGCCAAAGAAAAGAAAAAATAAATAAAAATGGAAATTAGATTGGTATTTCCATATTGGGTTGGAATGGGGATTATGGTTTGGAATGCGCGATTACGAATTGAACTTTCAAGGGTGCAAGCATCCAAAGAATCCACAGAAACAAGCTGGCTGGCTGCTTAAATGGCACTCAAGATCGGTTGAAAACGGTTCGCAATTATGATTTAAACACGAATATTCCATCACTCACGGCATTTAAAGAATATTTTGCGTTGAAAATGTTCTTTGGCACTTGCTGAAGCATCTTTTCAATGTTAATTGAGTTTGAAGTGTGTGTGTTTTTTATTTTGTAGCACGACCAATCAATGTTGAGGTTCACATTGGAGCTGAAACTGCAATGAATCGAGGCACGAATCCACCCAACCACCCAACCGGCCTGAGCCGATGATTGCCGCAGCCGATCCCATTCATTTTATTCACACTTAGAGACAAAAAAGAAGACCCCAAGAAATTGAACTAAGAACCATGCAAGAAATTCTATTTGAAATCAACATTTTCATGGGTTGGAGTTGAGAGTTTTGAGAGCTTTACTTACCCAAAAAATAAAATAGGAAAGGCAAATTGCAGGAGTGTCCTGGAGGCGGGAGTGCGAGGAGTGCGCGTCGTTGAGGAAAATCCACACAAATTGAAAAATTCTTGTTGAAATATTTTCTCTTGTTTCAATTTTTGCATTTTTTCACGACATTTTGTAACAATTTGTTGTTGTTGTTTTATTGTTGAGGAAAACCAGAAAAAAATGCTTGAAAAAAATTAGATGTAACATTTTGATTTTGTGTGGATTTAAATCCCTTGCAACGGGGCGTGTCCGGCCCAAAAATAAAATAAAAGCAATTTATGTTGTCTATGGGGGTTTCTGTTGTTTGTTTTTGTTGTGTGTGTTGCTCCCCCAGAACCCCTCATAAGCACCGTCTGCTGCGCTTTCCTTTCAATTTAATTGCAAAGAAAAATCAACGAACAAATTTAAGAATTGGAATGCAAACACATACACCACGCACACACGTACAGTGTTAGATAGAGAGAGAGAGAGAGAGTGAGGTGGGGCTCAGCGAGCGGGGGGGGAGATGTATAGAAAATTTCAACATCTTTTGCTTTCAGATAGAAAGAGCGAGAGAGAGAGAGAGATAGGGGGGGGGAGGAACGAGCGAGGTTGCATTAGATTGCATTTTGGCAAAAACAAAAAAAAACTTTAAAAAATTTATTTTGCGCGACGCAATTTTTTCTTTTAATTTTTTCTTTCCGTTTTCTTGCTTTTTGTATTTGCAAGCGCACACACATACACAAAGAGCACACACACACACACACACACACACACACATGCACGAGTGCGCGAGGGGTATAAGGTGTGGACGGGGTGGGGTGAGGGGTGGCTGCAGAGCAGAGAAAACTTTAACTACGTTTTTTTCTTCATCATTCTTCATTCGTTTTGCGTTTTGCGTTTTGCTTTTTCTGCAGCTGCACTCTTTTTTCTTCCTTTTTGCGCTGCTCTATTACCTCTTTTTTGTTGTTACTTGTTATCTTTAGATTCTTGATCAATTTTCGTATATTTGCAACGTTTTCTTTTGCTCTTCTATTTTTACTCTTATCTTTTTTCGGGGCACAAATGAACGTTGTACAAAAATTTTTTCACATTGCTCGGTGCCGCCGAACGAACACACCCGAGTTTTTTTTAGGCCTTTCAAACACAGAGCGCGACGCGACGCGACACGGCAGCGGCGAACGGGACACAGTCAACGACGTCGACATCGGTGTCGGCGGCAGCGGCAGCGGCAGCGGCAGAGACGGCGACGCTGGCTCTGCTGCTGCGTGCGAACACCAGGTTCTTACAGCGGGCGGGGGCCCAGCTATAACGTAAGGCTTACACAAAAAAAAGATCGCCTCGCCTGTAAGCCCTGTGCGGCTCTTCGTTGATTTGGTTTTTCTTTTTTGATTTGAATATAAAAACCTAAATTTTATGTGAATAATTTTACTTATTATTATTAATTTTCACACACAGAGAGACAGGGTGCGAGAGAGAGAGAGCGGCGGCTGGCGCTGCTGCCTCAATAGCTGTGGCAAAAATGTTGCCCACTTCTGCTTGAATGTTGCTGTAAAACGTTCACATGTTGCCAGCGAACGGACAGGTTCGGGTTCGCTCAGCCGGTTTGATCAAACGGTCGTGTATGTACATATGCTGCCAAGTGTTTTTCAGAGAAATACCTCCTATATCGATATGAAAATATCGTTGCAGGGAAAATTAATTTGTCATTAGTTTTGGTTATGTTTATGTTTTCGTGATTTTTGGTTTCAATACAAATCGTTCACATTTTCTGCAAATTACCCTCAAAAATACCAGAAATATACTAAAGGTTCGATGTTGGAAGACACACTGGCGTCTTGTACCCTCCTGCAAAGGTCAAAAGAGTACGAAAGATTGCAATACGAGATATTATTAATTGATGGGGGGCTATGGCATGGCAACAGCTACATAAGCTTCTCAACCATTGACAGTCCTCTCCAACAGCATTGCGTCTAGCCTTTGCTAATTTGTATTTTTTGCAGTGAAAGTGAAACACATGCTGGCTTAGTGGTGGGAGACAGCGACGCGGCAGAGGCCGGTCCTAATACACAACCATTCGGCTTGATCTCAAATCAGTTGCATGTTGGATGCTTGCAGCGAACTTGTCGGCCCAAACATATTGCTGGACCGCTTTATTCTGTGCCGTGCTGTGCGAAAATGCGCTAATGTTTCATGTCTATTAATATTGTCTTCCCTTTCCTCTCTCTCTCTCTCTCTCTACCCACATCACATCACAATTCATACACCATACAAAACTATGGGCCGGCCGGCAGAGACGAATGGCCTCATTGCTTTTTGCCGCTTTGCAACCATTTCTAAACGTGTTCGTGCTCGCAGCGGCGTTGCCAAACTTCTGTGCAAAAAAATACCCAAAACAGAAACAAGAGTATCGAGAGAGAGATAGAGAGGCAGCCGTCGCACATGTTCGAAGCCAACTGACGCCGCTGGCACTGAAGTTTGGCAACAGTGCACACCATTCGTATGCTTTTCTTGCTTAGAAAATGACAATTGAAAATAACAAATAAAAGGAGAACTGGATTTATATACATAGAGCCAGACAACGCAAAACCAAGGACATATTTGATTTGAGTTACAGTTACAGCAGCGAGAACCAAAGACGCAACCCCAGGCAGACAGAAGATATCGAAAAAATAGACCCGGTACACGGTGCATGACACCATTCGTTCTCATTCGCAGTCATGCGGCATCAGTCGCTGTCGAGCAACGAAACCGAAACCGTCGAAGTAATGCTCAGTCCGGGGGCCAGCAGCAGCAGCGGTATGATGAACCACTCTTGGACGGCAACGACTAGCATTCTGTCCGACGAGAAGGAGGTTATGGAGGAGTTCATCAGCTGCTATCGCCACTTCACTGCCCTGTGGGACAGCAGCAGCAGCGATTACCTATCCAAAAAGAAGAAGGAGCCCGGCTACATGGAGCTCCTCAAGATACTGCGCAGCATCAATGGGGAGTGCACTGTGCACGATGTCAAGCGGAAGATCAATTCGCTGCGCTGCTGCTATCGCAGAGAGATCAAAAAGGTTCATTCCTCCAAAAACAACTATCGCCCGCGGCTGTGGTGGTTCAATCTAATGGATTTCCTGAAGCCCGTACTCAATCTTCGCTCGCCGCCGCACATGGACGATAGCCTCGACGAAACGAGCATAAATGTGAGTATCGTTTTCCTTCGGGGCATGGGCTTGTGGGGTAGAGTTGCAGCAACATCGTTGAAACATGCCAAAGGGTTGACTTTATGTTTTCATTTTATATAATTAATATTTCTCAATGATTCAAAAGACTAAAAAGTAAGTCAATTTTTATCTAACTACACGTTGTTTAGGAAGAAATACATCGAAACGATGTTAACGACGATGTTTCGTCAGCTCTAGATTGGGGCGGGGCTAAGGGCGGCGGAACTCACACAAGTTTGATGGGAACAGCGCAGCTTCGTCGTACGGCAGTCGTACGACAACAAGAGGACTCTGACGACTGCAACGACGACATCATGCAGCACAACAGCAGCCCCAAGGCAACGAATTTGCAATGGCAAAAGTTCTTCCGACTCTACCGTAGCATGCCCCAACTCTGGATGACGAAGAGCAGGGGCTATCAGGACAGGCTGCTGAAGGCGCAGTCCTATCATATACTGCTCGAATGCTTGCGCGTCATCGATCCCACGGCCAACATTCACACGCTCAAGCGGAAGATCAACAACTTTCGCACCTCATACCGCCGTGAGCTGCGCAAAAAGTACTCATCGGAAAATGAATATGTGCCCACCCTGTGGTATTACAAGGAGCTCGACTTTCTCTGCGAGGTGGAGACAGGCGAACTTCAGCTGGAGATGGAGCTCGATGTCGATTTGCCGCAACTCAAGTCATTAGATCCACAGCCAGAACTGGACCCAGCAGCAGCAGCACCACCACCACCAGCACCAGAGCCGGATGACATCATCGCCTTGTCCATGCATGAAATGAATGCAGATTTAATCGAAGAGTTGGATAATGAAAACGATCATCCAGACGACATGGAGAAGGTGATGCTGGGTAGCTCTGTAGTCGCGTATTCCCGTGCGGAGGCAACTGTACCAAAAATTGATGCATTCTCTTCCCATTCCTATTTTGAAACTCGCTTGCAGGATGACGATATGTTTGCTGAGTCCTTCAACACTGAAACGGACGCCCTGGGCGACCCCGATCCGGATCCAGATCCGGAGCCCGACGAAGAACCCGAAATGGAAGCCGCTGACCAGACGCCCATCATGCGGATATCATCGACCTTCAAAGCGGAGGAGCACCATAGCAGCCATAGCCATAGCCATAGCCACGATTACCAGACTCTGTCACCTCAATCGATGACATCGAATGCAAATGGATTGTACTCTGGTCAGCCAAAGCACCGTAAGGGATTTGACTCCGCTGCCGTGAGACACTCCCAGCCGGACCGACGGATGTCGGCGCGGGCTCGGCGCCCCGCCCGACGGCGCAGCACTACGAGCCAAGATGAGGAGTACTTCCATTTCGTAGACGGAGAGCCGAGCCCGAAGCAGCGCCGCATGGATAACAGCTACGATCATGCGGAGAGCGAGTGCGTGCTGATCGGTAAGAGAATGGCGGCCCACTTCCGTAACATGCGTCCAGACCAGAGACTCTTTGCCGAGCGCATCATCAGCGAGGTCCTCGTCTATGGCAGAATGAATCAACTCTCACTGCGAGCACGATTTGTGCCCAATGATGGGGACGGTGCATTGCCGTGAGACAGGTGGTGTCCGTGTCGGCCACTCGTGGCCGGTGGAGGAGTCAGTCGGCAAAAGAGATAACAAAGAGAGTGAACAGCCTACAAAAGTGGCGACAACAATCAGGCTTTGATAATTACTTGTAACATAATTATACATACACATGTAATAAATTATGCATTATCCAAATGACATTATGCGACCACTCAATTACAAAATGGGACACCTATACATATATGAAATCCGCTCACACACCTTGACTCGTGCGTTTGTGACGTTTTTGTCGCCTGCCATTCTCTTCTGGCAGGGCAACAGAAAAAGGTTCAGAGCCAAACGGCAAAGCAAAGTCGCAAAAGGGAGCGAGCGAGAGGGCTATACATAGACAGTAGCGACGGTGAAAGAGAACGTACAGGCAAAAGAACTGTATTACCAGAACCGGTTTTTATTCATTTTCAATTTGAGTGAGCGGTTCTGCATGCGGCGGATTCTCCTTTGGCTCTCCACCGCGCCCTCTCCCTTTCCAAACACTGCCGACGACTGCGTTTCTTTTTTCCTTGCGTTTGCTTTCTTTGCCGATTTTTGTTTTGCTGATAGTCGTCGCCAGTTGGCACAGTCAGTGGCAGCGGCAGCGGCAGAGGCAAGGGCAGAGGCAAGGGCAGAGCACACGACTGAGCCCGGTTTTGTGTCTCTTTCTTTCATACCCCTTTGACTGCTTATTCGCGTTTCCATGCTGTGCCAGAAATTCTCTATCGCTTGATACCCTTTTGGAACTGAGAGTGTGCTGAATGTATTGTATGCGTTGTCACAGTGGGAATACATTGCTCGAAGAGGAATAAGTTTGTATTTCTGAAGACTATCATACAATATGCAAAACATTTTACAAGCCATATACTTGTTTGAAATCGGCTGATGCATACATACATATATATTAACTAGATATCCCAGGGTATTCCAAGGGTAGACCCCTCAGAGCGCTGACATCTCCTTCTGGTTTTGTTGTTGTTCTGTTTTCCCTTTGCTTTAGTAACTTTAATTTGTTGGCATTGCCATTGCCGTTTCGGGGTCCGTTACGCTGCCAGCAGAGACCAAGTCCGACCCCGTTCCTCGCCCATCGACGAACCCTTTACATTGCTCTATTATCGCTCGGGTTTGGTTAGGTCGTGTTTCTTTTGCGTTAGTTTTTGATTTTTCTTTCTGTTTTTTTTCTTTTCTGTTTGTCGTTTTGGGTATCAGCGCGCAAGGTGGTCAAAATGGGAGGAGTGTCTGCGGGGGAGATCAGAGTCTGAGTCAGCTTGAAATATTTCTGTTTGTGCAACTTGATCGGAATTGTTGGCAATATGGACATGCATACACACATATGTGTATGTGTGCACTTTTTTTAGTTCCTGGCACCGAGATGCATTTGGCCTCTGACACACCTTTGTTTTTGTTATGCCAAATGGTTTCGGGTTCTGGTTCAGCTCCCTAACAGAACAGCTGATATTATAGGAACACGAATACTCTGGAGTATAAATAAATCATTGGAAAAAATGTACTTTGGTGTCAGTAATAATTTTCTTCAAAATATAAGCTTGAAAAAACAATTCAGATTTTTCTGCATTCAACGAATGGGAGAAGTTATTTGAAGAAGGTGAGGCCTTCCATTCCCCTAGGATTACAGTTTCTTTCATTTGGGGATTCTATTCTTTGTTTTCGCTTTTTATTTCTGTCAATCTGTTTTGTCTGCCTCTCGCACTCGCACTCACACACTCTCCTGATCTTTGCAGTTGTTTTTACTCCGCTGGACGGTCTGCTTCTTTATGCTGTTATTGGTCTTTAATTTCCCCCTCTGTTCTCTGGCAAGTTTTACTGTTGGCAATGCTGCAGCGCAGCTTCACTCCATTCAGCAGCAGCAGCAGGTCATTAATAACATTGTTGCCCCATAGTGTGTGTGTGTGTGGGGTGGAGGGGGGGGGGGGGACTTACCGTCCCCTGTCGCTGTCCTTCTAGCAAATGTTTTTGCCTTGCTCTGAATTTTTACTGCTGGTGGCCTTTGGTTCTTTTCCCTTTCCTTTGCCTTGTCGTTCCACATCTTTATCGCTCGTTGCTTTTCACTCATTTCATAGCCGCTGGTTGTCTTTGTTGATTTTTTCGTTCTTTTTTTGCATTTGTCTAGCATTTGCCCCCCCCCGTCAAGGGTCCTTTTGCGTTCTTCCGATGCATTGAATACGATGCAAAAAAAAGATGTTAAGTTAAATTACTGCCCTGCACTAGGATCTGTCCCTCATCACACTCTTCCTCAGTAATTGCGTACAATGTATGTATGTATGTATGTATGTATGTATGTACATGTGTATCTGCTTATGTGCTCGCTGGCACTGGGCCTGTGGGGGACCTCCGTGGCTATGGCACGCATGTCGTTCGGTCACCGTTTGCCTCGGGCAACGGGACAGCGGACTGGTCAGCGTCTTATGTGGCTCTGCTTTTGACATGCCACAAAAGCTTACCCCTCCCGCCATCCAGCTGGTTGCAGGTCTAATTCTTCCCCAAAAACCCATGTGGAAACCCTGCCAAACCACAATAATCCATTCCAATTCCAGTGTGTGTGGCGTGCCTGTGTCTGCAGAATTGGCAAAACAAGGTCAAGTGTAGGGAGCAAAATATGTTTAAGTGCCCATGAGTGTGTGTGTGACTCAGGGGCCTCTCCAGAGGGTGTTGCCAAATCCCCAAACATTCTTCTTTCTGGATATTCTGTACATAATATATCCTATCCAATATCAAATCAAATGGCAAACGTAGGCGATAACTGTTATAACTGTATGTGTCTTTAAACGGGCTTCTGGAGTGCCTAGTGGGGGTGGGCGCCTTCTGTACTTGCGTAAAGTTTAAACAAAAGTTGTCGAGAGACCAAGAATCAGGCAATCCCTGCTGCTGCCGCGAGCCCATGCCGTGTATGAGTCACGTTCAACAGGCGGCCGTTGCGCCGCAATGTGCGGCTTCATCATTTTGAGGTTAGCTTTTTGTCGCATTCGCGGGGGGGAGGCAACGGCAACGGTAGTGGCAGCAGTAGCAGCCCTAAGAGCGCGGCCCAAAATCATTTGCACAAAGGTGTGAAGTTTTTCGAGATCTGAACTTGACGGATGGGGTCCCCGGCTGGCGTCAGAGCCAGCGCCACAGCCATAGCTGCAGTGGAAGCCGAATCCGACGTCGCTGCAGCGGCGACGACGACACCTGTGGATATACGCATAGGAATGTGAACAAGAGAAAGAGCGAGATGGAGAGAAAGAGATCTGCTTTGCTGCCAATTCTTGCAGGCCTATGCAGTGAGCGGTCGGGTCGGGTCGGGTCGTCGAAAGCATGCCATGGCTCTGGTCAGGCACAGCACGAGGGATGGGGTGGGAATTAAATCTGTACGGGTAGTGGGGCGGCTCCTGCTGTCTCAACTCACCCACTCAAACCCCCCGGGATGTGACGTATGTATGTACAAGCAAAGCAAACGCTAACGCAAAAGCAAAACCAAACGAAAAACCAACAAAAACAACGACAGCTGAAAGTGTAACTAAAATGCACACAAAAATTATATACCCATAAACATACACACACACACATCCATCGTTACATACATACAAATGTGTGTGTACATAAATACTGTACATGCACACACAGAGCCGCCAGAGTCATAAAAACACGAAAGGAGAGGTCGTAGATTTGAACTGCGAAGCATTTGATACCCTTGGCGATCATTTGCAAACATTTGTATGTACATATGTATGTATTTGCATTATTAAAAACGAGAAGAGGGGATAATCATTCATTTGCTAATACATACTTACATATGGATGTGTATCTGCAACTGCACACTCAAGTTATTTTTGGTCAAGACTTGCAAAACTTTGATATATCCTCCCTCTGTAAGGGTATCAGAAATGTTGCAAAAAAAAAACAAAAATGGAGAGGAAAAAAGAAACCTAAATAAAAAAATTAAATGGAAATTTCTGAAATAAAGCACACGCACACAACTACACACACACACAGCTACGAATACCCATACAATGTCGGTGGCGGAGGCAGAAAAAACAGTTCAGTTCATTTTGTGTGAAAATTGGCAACGCTGCCTCAGCTAACGTAACGAGCCAGGCGACGACGCCGGCAGACACAAAAACAAACACTGCGTCAGTAAGAACGTCGGCCCGTCACTCGGTGAGAGTGACTGTCGACTGTCGGTCGGGTGAGAGCGACGGCCGGCCGTAGAGCGCAGCGCGTAGTTTTTGCGCAGCGCACACCGCACAGCAACATCGGAGAGCAGCAACCCCAATGGCGAATTTGCTGCGTTCGTGCATATGGAAGAATATATTTCGGAAGGCATCCTTGAATTTTTCACATATTACTCCCGTTTCGATAATCATTTTATATAAATACATAATTACATTAGAACTGTAATTTGTAGGCTCAAAAAGAATTTCTGTTCTGCTCGAACATTTACAAAGTTCATGTAGTTTTTACCCAAACGTGGGCAAATGTTGTGCTAAATTCGCCACTGTGCTGCTGTTGAGCTTACTCCTTCTTTTGCCGACACACACACACAAGCTTTGCACAATTTTTTTTTCGCTACAATTTGACACACAAAGCAGCTGTCAGCATAAGCACACATATATGCATACATATATTTTATATATATTATATATCAGCCAGTGCGATAGAGGGAGATCCAGACAAAGAGTGAGCGAGAGAGCTTGAGTCGAGAGAGGCGGGGCTGGGGCTGGGGCTGTTATCTACTGCGCATTGTCTTGAATGTTGTTTGCGTGTGTCTGTACGAAGCGAGTGTGTGTGAGAAGAAGAAGAAGAAAAGGAAGTGTGTGTGTATGAGAGAAGATAAAGCACAAGTGTGTGTGTGTGCGAAAACAAGTAGAAGAATAGAAGAATACTCACAAGCAAGTGAAGGAGAATGTGTTTGCATGGCTTTGAAGAAGCAGAGCTAGAAATCAGATGAAGCAGAAATAGAAGAGTATGTGTGTGTTTAGTATGTGTAGAAGTGGAAGTGGAGACTTGAATAACAATCGCAAAAGCTCGTTGAATTGAAGGGGTTAGTTATCGGCAGCGGGGCAGACCTACCGACCGACCGTTGGTCTGTCTATCGGTTGGTCGGTCGGGTGAGACGACACAAATCAACATGACACGACCAACGTCAACAGCAACTACAAGAACAGAACCGG